ATATTGGTTTGCATTTTTCATATTAGCCTTGTGGGTTTCCTAGTGAGGTGAAGTTGGTGCTCGGTAAGAGAAGACGATAGTCAACTTTTTTTTTTTTTTTTAGTTGGAGTCTTACTCTTGCCCAGGCTGGAGTGCAGTGGCCCCAGCATCAACCTGCTGGGCTCTGGCGATCCTTCTGACTGACTCAACCTTTCAAGTAGTCAAAACTATAGGTGCACTAATTTTTGATTTATTGTTGAGATGAGGTCTTGCCAGGTTGCCCAGGCTGGTCTCAAACCTACGGGTTCAGGCAATCCACTCGTCTCGGCCTCCCAAAGTGCTGGGGTTACAGGCTGAGCCACTGAGTCCGGCCTCAACTTTCTTATTTTGATAATAATAATTATTAAAATGATGATTCTCATGAATACTGTGTTTGACAGTTTCTATACCTTATCATTATGTTTCACCAAATATGCTTTTTAAAAGATGCATGGATGAACATTGTTATTGAAGAAGAATTTATTTTAATGTGTTTTATTTTAAAAAATGTAACTAGCACTTCAAATTCATGACTTCTTGGTCATCATTGCTTAGGCCAAAACTGAAATAAAAAAATAACTATAGGTTGAAATTAAAAAAAAAAAAAAATATATATATATATATATATATATAAAGTAAAAATAGGTTTATGTGAATATGCCAAAAATTTCATGGGATACAGTTTTATTTCATCTCATCTTCACTTACTCATGTGAGGCAAACACCATTATTCTTACCACTTAACAAATAAAGCTTGAAACAGGTTCGTCATTTCCAAAGTCCTTTAACCATCGGTAGACCTGGTTTTTTTTTTTTTTTTTTTTGAGTTGGAGTCTCACTCAGTCACCCAGACTGGAGTGCAGTGGCCGCTCCCGGCCACCGCAGCCTCGACCTGCTGGGCTCCGGCGATCCTTCCGCCTCAGCCTTCCGAGTAGCCGGAATTACAGGCATGCGCCACCACGCCTGGCTGATTTTTTTTTTTTTTGATCTATTGTAGAGATGAGGTCTCGCTGCCCAGGCGGGTCTCGAACCCGCGGGCTCAGGCAATCCACTCACCTCAGCCTCCCAAAGGCGCGGGATTACAGGCTGAGCCACCGAGCCCGGCTAGACCTGGTTTTTAAACTAACACTCTTTGCTCTCCATTGTGAGTCCCCAGGGTATTTTCTCACTTCCTTCTCAGGAATATTTTTTTCTTAAAATTTTATATTAACTTACGGTATTTTTCTTTTTTATAAAATTATGATATATTTGTGCAGGTTATTGTCTGGACATAGACTGTCCCACCACCCCAGCAGCCTTTGGCCAAGACTGGTCTCTGAAGGGTATGCATATTCCCAGTAATGAGTCATGGGGTGCAGATGACCAAGCAAAGCTGAAAACAATGTATTTAGCGCTCTTAATCAATGTAATTGTAAACACTGGATAGGAATTTGACTAATTAACTTGTTACCTATAAAACTGCTTGCCATACTGCCTCGAGATGCAGATTCTTCGCCAAGCCTGCTGCCGTGGGTATCTCCTGTTCTAATAAGCTTATGTCTAATAAGCTTATGTCTTCCCCTTGCTGGACCTCTTGGTCTCTACTTTGGAATAGGTAAACATTCTGTGCAAGCCCTCTCAGAATTGGGGTTACCATGTTACAATTTGTTACAGAAATTTTAGAAAATACTAAGAAGTAACAGGAAGAGATTTTTGTATTGTAGTTAAAACATTTAAAACAGCCAGGCACGGTGGCTCAAGTCTATAATCCCAGCACTTTGGGAAGCCGAACTGATGCCTGAGCCCACGAGTTTGAGAACAGCCTGGGCAACTTGGCAAGATTTCATCTCTATGAAAAATTTTAAAAAATTAGCCAGGCGTGATAGCACGCACCTGTAGTTCAGTTACTTGGAAGGCTGAAGTGGAAGGATCATCTGAGCCCAGCAAGTCGACGCTGGGGTGGCTGTAAGCGTGCCACTGCACTCCAGCCTGGGCGACAGAGTGAGACTCCCAACTCAAAAAAAAACATTTAATATGCGATCTATGCTTTTACATTCTTAAGTGTACATTATGGTATTGCTAACTAGAGTAGTTGTCCCTTACCTGTGGTTTTCCTTTCTAGGACTTCAATTACCAGCAGTACCGTACCATAAGATATTTTAAGAGGAAGAGACCATATTCATATAACTTGTATTGTAGTGTATTATTGTAATTGGCCTATTTTATGATTAGTTAATAATCTCACTGTGCCTAACTTATAAACTAAGCTTTATCATAGGTATGTATGTATAGAACAAAACATGGTGTATATATAGGGTTTGGTACTATCTGTGGTTTCAGGCATCCACTGGGGGTCTTGAAACATACCCTACTGTGGATAGGGAAGGACTACTGTAGAAGCACAATGCTTTGCAGCAGATCTCTTTTTATTATCACAGCCCTGTGATTAAGATGAGCCAAGCGTGGAAAAGGAAGGGTAGGGAAACTGGCTGGAGCCCCACAGAAAGTATAGGCACACCAGACTCCAGACTCCTTTAAAACACACTGCATCACACCATGGGCCCTGGCAAGCTGCCCCTTCCTTTGGAAGAAAAAGTAATGTGCCCCCAGGGAACTATCAGAAGCCACCCTAGTTTAATATTGCTATACACGTCTCCCTATTGGGGAGCAGGATGTGGAAGCCCTGGCCTGATCTCTTCCCAAGACAGCGGCAGCCCTGCCTCTGAATCTACTGGCTTGTTCTGAGTAAAGAGCTCAACTATTCTGTCTACACAAATACACACACACATACATGCACCAGCTGATTTAATTAAGCCCCTTCTCAACTCAAATGGTGAGTTTAGACAAAGAATTGAGGCTCAACCAAATTACCAGTTACTGACTCTGTTGTTTTTCAATTGGTTGCTTTGGGATCTTTCTGGCTGACAGCTTCCTTCAGTAGTGAATTGGAGAGAAGGGAGGTTAGGATGTTAATTAGGCAGCATGGTAAATTATGTGAATGCCTAGGAGAAAACAGATGCCATGCAAATGGAGGTTTACAATTGCTGTTGCAGTGCAGCTTTTTAAAAAGAGCCATTCATAGTGATCTGTGATTCTGTAAAGTTATATTTTGGGACTCCATGGGTTTCAGAAACAGCTCTTTTCCTGGGTCTGTTCCACAGTCATGTGGCTAGGATCCCAAGTGTTTCCATTTTGGCATTTTAAAACAGCAACAAGAGACCCTTGTTTGTTTTGAGCATGGAGCCACAGCTGAGCTGAACGGTTGATAGTCTTGGCTCTTATTTTAGTAGAAATATGGTGGTCCCAGAGGCTTGCAAAGATGATATTCTCCCCCATTATTACCAGAAGATACTTCCAAGAAACTGGCAACATGAATAAAATACGTATCTTCTTAGAGCCTAATGGTTTAAGAAAAGGATTTGATGAGGGACCGATACACCTCTTGATGGCTTTTGAAGGTGTGTGCTATTTATATGCTATGATTTATTGACTAGTAACTCTTATTCCTGATACTCCTGAGGACTCCTGCCAAATCTTGGTGTTTTCTGGGAAATTTTTCATGGCAAGAGTGTTGCATGTGGTGATTTGTGTCATCACACCAGCGCATCTTACCTTGGGCCAGAGGCACTGCTGTTCACCTGCCTCCAACTCTGCCCTCATCACATCCATTTCTGACCAGCCTCAGCCCTGACAGAATGCTGTCAGGGAGCTTCAAAGGCACAATAGGAGGTGTAATCTACCTTCCCAGATTACAACTCACCAGGGGAGATGGTGCTAACTGAAAATACAGGAGTACCTAATCAGACCTTTGATGTTATACAAAACAAATTGCATTTCAAGCTCTAGAGCACAAGGAGCCATTCTAAATCTGATTAAGATTCATCCAGTACCAAATTGTGATAAATGTTTATTTTGGAAAAGCAGATCATCAGTATTTTATTTCTGATTCTGCTTATTCATTCAGAAAATCTGTTTTCCACTCTCTTTAGGGAAGTAGGAGTAAGAGAAAGCCTTGGCTTGTCCTGACTTGTCTGCTGGGCAAACTTACCAAGGAGTTTGAGCTGCTTCTTGAATAATTCTGTGGGGATTCAGAGTGCAGAGACCATTATCCTGGCCACCCTGACTCAGTGTCCTAATTATCTCCCATGGACACTCCTCCACAACACAGGGGTACCCCCATTCTGGACAGACGCTGGGGTGGGGAGCTAACTTGTAGCGAGAATTCGGGCACAGAGCTGCCTATCTGGGGAGAAGGTTTGGAGTAGATTTTGTTTTGTTTTGTCCAAAATAAAATTCTACATGAAGATTTGGAGGAGAAAACAGAATTATTCCTAACTCTACTATGCTTTATAGTTGCTGTGATCTTGTAGTGCATTTGTTTGTACACATGAACGTATGCTTTTTATATAAAAAGGAATCATTACTGTTTGTTTTGAAATTTGTGGTTTCCATTTAACATATTCTGGACATTATTCCTTGTTGATAAGCAGAGTTCTCCATCATTTTTGATGACTGCTGAATAATTTTCAATCTGGGCACTGCCTTCCCCTCTCTTCCTCCTTGATTTTTCCCTTTTTCCTTTCTGCTTCCTTCACTGGCAATTCTGTTATTCCTTTTCTTCCTCATAATCTATAATCTCTTTCATCAGCTTCATTTTGTTGTTTTATTTTTATTCAGTCCAATGATTTGTAATATACCCTTCAACATATGCAAATAATATGAAATAAAAAGAGGATTTTTGTAGTTCTGGACTGTGCTGACTGTATAATGCATACCAAAATAATTTGTTTCCATTGTTTTTGTTGGTAGCTTTGTAATATTGTCTATCCAGGTTCTGTGAGAGCAAACATGACAGTATTTTGAAAGCTTTTCATATCCCCAAAAGGAAGAAATGACAAAGAGGCAAGCCATTATAATGAATGTTTATGATCTTTATTTAGGAACATGACAGTCTCAAGCCCTCTGTCACTTCCAAGTCTTGATGATTCGTCTTGTTTCTCCAGACCCCACGCCAGTCCACAAAGACGAGCAGAATGAAGCTGACAGCACACCAGAAGACCTTCAGTCTGTGGGGACCAGCAGGCTGCTCTATCACATCACTGATGGTGACAACCCGCTGCTGTCACCACGATGCTCCATCTTCAGCCAAAGCCAGAGATTCAACTTAGACCCTGAGTCAGCCCCGTCTCCACCTAGCACTCAGCAGTTTATGATGTAAGAAAACCTTGTTTTGTTATTGCTTTCATCTCATACAGGTCTTCAAATATCACATTTACAGACTACAATGAAGTGTGTGTCTGAAATAGTGCCAACAGGCCTGCCTAGTGTAACTGCAAGACCTCAACAATAAATGGCAAAAAGAAAACAGCCAGTGTATTTTAAGTTGGGGATGCTCTTTCAGGCCTTAGTATTTCAGGAGGAAATGGTTATGAGACACAGTCTACCTAGGGATTCATGTTTGAACATTGTTGGTGAAATGACCAGAATCCTAAGTAAATATATGTGCAGTTACCAGGAATATTGTTATCGATGGGTTCAATGTTCTTTGTCTAATGGTGGCATCAACGGTTAGACTGAGGAGATTCTTGGGAACTGTCCACTTCAATTTCTTCTTAGACCCTAGAAAAGTGGTAGCTTACAATAGCTACCCCCTCAAAATAACATGCACATAATAATCAAATGCCTGTCTCCCCTACATACTTTATGGAATTTGCATTTGGGATTAGAGTGAGGTTGGGGAACTATGTGGTATTTGTTTTTAAGTTCCACAGATAATTTTGATCTAAGGCTAAAATTAAGAATCCCTTGGCTAAGAGTATACCCAGGGAGTCTCTGGTTTCTTCCTCATAACTCATGCTGTTATTCTTGAATTTATCCAAATCTGGGTCCATGCACTATCTAAACCTAGCATAAATTGAGCTCTTGTCCTGGGCCTGTCTTGTTCTCACCTGCTGACAGTTGATCTCTGCTGAGATATTATCTAGTAATGGATTACAACTCCCCTTTCTGAACTTATTTTGTTATTGATCCTCCCCCCTCCCATTTTTTTTTTTTTTTATTACTGAAGAACTTTATTATCACTAGTTTTTCCAGGACCAAAATTTGGAAAGCTTTTCAATTACAGTCTTAGTTTTTTGTTTTTGTTTTTAACATTTTTCCCAATGGACTTGAGGGAGTTAGTGAATTATTGCTGTTGCATGTAAAGTGTGTGTCTTGTGATAAAGTATATGCATTTTCTAGAGAGGAGAGGTGTTTCTTTTCATCATATTCAAAAAAGTTCTGGTAAGTCTAGAAAAGTTAACTGCTTGTCTAAAACTTGCTTGAAAATATTGATAGATGTGGCTAGTGCAACCCACTGAAGATAGAGCCTCAACAAGGCTGAATCTTCTGAGTCTTAAAATTAGCCTTCACTAAGCTTTAGGAACTGCATTTCCTGGATTAATATTTTGTGACATTTTACACTAAAGTCCCTGATGACATCAGCCCGTAATGGAGTTCTGCGATCAGGAGGTCTCCATTAATAAGCAGGTGCTACCATGGTAGACTCATCAAATAATGAACTTCTCTCTGGACTTCTCTGATAATCCACACATCTTGGTTTTTTAGACTAGCAGTAGTGTTTTCTGGAAGATCATTGTTTCTGATGTTCCTTCCTTCCTGTAATCATTGCAGGCCCCGGAGTTCTTCACGTTCCAGCTGTGGGGATGGTAAGGAGCCTCAGACCATCACCCAGCTCACCAAGCACATACAGAGCCTCAAGCGTAAAATTCGTAAATTTGAGGAAAAATTCGAACAAGAAAAGAAATATCGGGTAAGAAACTTGGGGTTTGACAAAAAAGTGGATTGGTCAGAATGTGTGGGTTTTTTCTGCGCCTCAGTCCTTCCTTTCTGGGTACCCCTCTTTGCCAGGAGACAGATTTGGTCCCATTGGCCAATCCAGAACCTAGCAAAAATTGAGTTCCTGTCCTGGGTCTGTCGGTTGATCTCTGCTGAGATATTGTCTAGTAATGGATTACAACTCTTCTTTCTGAACTTATTTGGTTATTGATCCTCCTTCCCCACTTATTTTTGCCCCTGAAGAACCTTATTATCACTAGTTTTTCAAGGACCAAAATTTGGAAAGCTTTTCAATTATGGTCTTAGGTTTTTAAAACCTTTTTCCCAGTTGCATTTTGATAAGAACTTACTAAGGACCCAATGGCAGACACTCCAATTGTGGATAATGGGAAGAGATGGTTTCATTGACATTAAAGTACTGATTGATGTGTGGGAACCTCTCAAGTGACATCTGTTCAGGTGACTCATAAGAACTAACCCTGAGACATCCTTTCTTATCAGAGAGACACCAGTCTTCATGCTGGTTACTGCAGTGCAGCAAACACAAGCCTTATTTTTTCTCTTTTAAGAAAACATAGGGATATAGGTAAGTGTCTTAATGGCCAATGTTGCTTTTATTTTCTCTAATGGTGACCATGGCATAGAGAAAAATCATATTCATGGAAAATTGGACAAAGATATTGGGTCTTTGGCAGACAGCCCAGTACAGCTTTTTATTAGAATCAAAGAGAACAGGGAATTATCTCTCATACATCTTGAAATATTTCAAGGTTCACTAAGCGCTTGTTACAGAGGCAATCAGAAAGTTCCTGTGAGTGTGGGTAAGTTCTGGGAGGGAGGTGAGAGTGGGTAATATTCCACTCTTCCATTCTTCCTGTCCTGTGTTTCCTACAGTGGTCTCAAATTCACTAAAGGAATTTTAAAGAGTGGTTTTTAGCTTGCAAAAACAGGGAAATAAAAATCAGATTGGCTTTCAAGACAACCTTAGGGTGTTGAAGATTCTTCTCTTCCCTAGAATCAGGCTATCACATCTACTTCTCGTCTTTTGTAGGGCAGGAAGGAGTTTTACATGATTAGTCCAGGCCTTTATTTTATAGATAAGGAGGCCAAGGCCCAGTGAAGACTTATGACTTGCCTAAGGTAGTCATGTTCTATCAGCTTAAGCTTGGAGCAGTGGAATGAAGATGTGTAGGCTTTGCAATAGAGTAGATGTATAAGTCTTAAGTGGTCACATTTTGAAAGCTTCAGTTATTCTGAGACCCATCTGCCAGAGTGTTATTGGATCTGTGAAGTCCTCATACTGGAAACTACACAGTAATAACAACTAAGGACTCCATTCCCAGGGCCTGCTAATACATATTACCTTATAGTTCTTGAATAAAAGCTATTCTGAATTTGAATCCTGCACAGCTACTTAAGAACTGTGTGACTTTGGACTCGTTACCTGAGTTTCACATTCTGTCTGTCAGATAGAGTCTATATTAGTGGTGACTTCTTAAGTTTGTGAGTAGTAAATGAGGAAGTACATATACAATGCTTATTATAGTGTTTGGCACAAAAAAAGCAAATGGTGGAGACGGGGCAAGATGGCGACGGCATAGGTGAACTGGTGAGATTCTCTGAACGGACCAAGACTGCAAACTGCTGAATAGACAGACTGTAAAGCAGAGGGAAAAGTGAACAAAACCAGAAGACCCTCATAAGGAAGAACAGGTCATTGCAGAAGAGAAATAAAAGCAACCCCACCTTCCCTCAAAAACAGAATTGAAGAGGGGGAGGGAAAGGGGTAAAGGGAGAAAAGTCTACAGAAATGAAGAAAAACCAAAAGAAGAGTATGGGTCTCTCCCAGACGCCTGGGAGAGCAGACACTGAGAAAATTGACTTTGGAATACAAACAATGAAAAGTCCCCAGAATGAAGGGTCTCAAAATGCAAATGTAGATATCAAAACAATAATGGAGAGACTAAAAAGAATTGAGGAGACACAAGAAGAAACAGGAAGGAGCTGATATCTGAGATAACAGTAATAAAGAATACTGTGAATGAAATAAATAACAAATTGATAAGCATGGAAAGCAGAATTACCCAAGCAGAAGAAAGAATCTCAGAGCTTGAGGACCAAAATATAGAAATAACCCAAACTCTTAAAAACACAGAAAATAAGCTCAAAAAGACAGAACAAAACCTTCAAGAGATGAGTGACTACCTCAAGAGGCCTAACCTAAGAATAATTGGACTCCCTGAGACGGAAAGAGAAACAGAGACCACATTGGAACAAACTTTCCACGAGATCATTTCAAGAAAATTTCCCTCATCTATCAGTGATACAAAATTCAAACACAAGAGATTCAGAGAACCCCGGCAGACACAAATGAGAAGACCAACTCCTAGACACATAATAATTCGCCTAAATAAAGTAGGCACAAAAGAAAAAATCCTAAAGGCAGCAAGAGAAAAAGGCCAGATCACCCACCATGGAAGACCAATCAGAATAGCAGCAGATTTATCTGCAGAAA